TTGATACCTTGTTTATTAATTAATGTCTTTGCAATAAATTAACAAATTTGTATTTAATTTCAATTTATGATCCCATAAAAATATTAAGGATCTTATTTTATACCAACAAATTATTTAAAATAAATTCCTAATAAGTTAAGAAAAATATTTTATAATTTATTGTATAAAATAAAATAACTCAAACACACATAATAAATTTAATGATTAAAAATAATAAAATTTTAGGTTACTATTAATAAATACTTAATATGCAAAGTACTATAGTTGTAAATAATCCTCTAATAATATGAAAATATTAAAAATATTAAATTTAAGATAATAAAATACATATTTCAAAAAAAATTAAAAATGAAATATTATAATTAATTAATAAAAACATGGGATTAAAAAATATATAAAAAATGTGGACACAACTTAGTGGAATGTATTTTAAAATGGAACACCAAAATTATAGTGCTCCACTTTCTAATTTTTATTATTACTTTTAATAATGATATTACTTTATGTCATTATTATTATTTTTTCTATTCATTATATTATTTTATTTTAAACACTAATATATATATTATTAGGATACACATATGTGACTAAAATAAAAAATAATAAATAAGTACTATATTTTATATATTTAAACATAAAAAGTAATAATAAAATAAAATTGCAATTAAATAATAACCAAAATAATAATATAGGATAAAATTAAAAAATATATAAATTATTTGTCAATATTCGAAATATTATAAAATATATATATTAAAAGTGTAAATAATCCTAAAATATTATTTAAATATATGTAACTATACTCGTAGTGACTAAAATAAAAATAAATACATTGCGAAGATAAAATTAAAAGATATAGAAACCTGATTTTGGTGACTATAATGGAAGATTACAGAATAAAGACGGGGTTAAACCAATTCTGAAATTATACAGACACTCCCTCTCCAAAACGACGCAGTTTTGATTTTGGTATAAATAAACCAAAATAGGTCATTTTCCCTCATTTTTTCTCATTTTTCTATTTTACTTCTCTCTCTAAAGAGAGAGAAGCTCTCCCTTCTCTCTAAACTCCCTCATTGGATGAAGCTTCGTTCACCGGTTGACTATCGGCCGACCACTGGCTGGTCACTATTCCGACCACCGGCCAGTCACTATTCACGTCGTCGGTCACTATTCCAATCACTATTCACGGATGGAAAAAATCAAAATAGCTTAAATCGTAGATCGACTTTCCCTCGTCCTAAATCCAAACTTCTTTTTCGTTAAAAGATAGTCAATCGGACTAGATCTGAGATTTTCTCTTCGGTAAAATCACTTTTCCGATGGTGTTTGAACTTCAAATGAGGTAAGATCTCTTCTCCTTTCTTTTGCTTCTTACTCGTTTGGTGTTGCTTGCTCTCTTCCCGTTCTTGCTGATGTTTCTTTTTGTAGGTTTTCAAGGCTTTTTATAGGCCTCGGAAAGCTTCAAACAACCGTTCATTTTGGTGAGTCATCGGATCTACAATGGTGACTCACCATAGGGAGTGAGGTGTGCGGTTCTCCTTGCTTCTTCTGGAGTCTTCTACTGAGGCGGCGGCATGGCAGTGTTGGAGTGGAACACTTGGACGGTTGGAGGAAAAGTGTGGGAAACCTTTGCTATTAGGTTCTAGATCGGGTCAAATGGGTTCCGGTTTGTAAATATTTATTATTTATTAATAATAATTATAATAATAATAATAATAATATAAAAAGGACGGGACGAAAATGCCTGTTGACAGAAACAAGTTCAATTAATAATTTTATATAAAGATTATACAGATATTTGGGTCGTAAGAGCTTGTAAATACATATCCCTTGCATTCATAGTCTCCTCTTAGTAAACAAGTTCGTTCAACTCAGCAAAAGGCCAGTTTTTGACATTAAAAAAAAAATCAACAATTATTATGGCTGCCATGGTTATTACAAAAGAAAAACCATAACTAGAAATGTAGCATTACCACTGGGTTCAGATTCGTAGAATCATTAAGTATGAAGAAACTCTGTGCTTCTTGGTCAACAAGTTTGAGCCAAAACAATAAGAAGTTTTGAAGAACTTGTCTTGCTTGAAAACTTTACAGAAAGTGAGATTAACATGTTACCATGCCAGTATTTCATGTCTGTTAATGTAACTGTACAAGATAGCCTTTGGTAGTATAAATGTCCGTGCAGACTAGGCAAAAAGAGTATGCATTCCTAAGAAACTCATAACAGTACACTTAAAGATTCTTCATACCAAGAACATAACAGGAAGCAAACGAGGTTTTAGTGATGTTTACACCCTTATTTCGAAAACTGCGAAAGGGTCACTGGGTCAAGGAATCCGGAGGACCAGCTCTCAACGGGGTTGAGTTTGATGGAGAACCGGAGGTGGCTACACCAGCAGTACCAGATGATGTTAAGGGTTAAGGAAGGATATTTTACGGTCTTTGCAGTGAAGGGAATGAAAACACAGAGGTATGTCGTTGAACTATACAACTTATCGAATCCGGCAATCCTTAGTCTACTCGAACTGGCTCGGGAAGAATACGGATTCCAGCAAAAGGGGGCTCTGTGTCTTCCTTGTGGGCCTCGAGAATTACAGGATATTCTACGCATTGGAAACTAGCCTAGAAAGCTTAAGAAAAATAACTGATCATCATTTCCAATTCAATGGTTCTTAATATTGATGTAACATTTTTTTATCTATATTTGTGAAAGTGAAAAAAAAATAGCACCAAATTGGATTGTTGTGAATAGACTATCTGCTTTGTCTTTATACTTGAAGGAGTACCGTACACATATAAATTTTACAGAAACACATACCATTAGAAAAAGGGTTTCATGTATCGATTAATTCAAAACGAAAATGTAATGACGCAAAATTTTAAGTCAGTGCTTGAGTCGTAATCGTGATTAGATTCATTAGACAAAATTCAAACTTTTTCGAGTGAGAGTTAGAAGATCATGGAGGACTACACTGGCGTAGTCCTAAAGATCATGGAATCGATCGAGTACATGACCTGACCTCATAGGAGGTCTTCTGATGTGATTCCTTGCAGCAAAGACCCGAAAGAATATTCAAGTGGGCCCACTACACGTGCAAGGGTCAAGAAGTTCCAAACAGCCATGAAAAACTTGTTTATGTCAAGCTTGAAACGTGTAGGAGAAAAGCCAACAACAATGGAGGAATGTTTTATTTTACTTATGCATGAATTAATTTGCATGAGAAATTAAAGTTTGCATAAATATTCATAGCATTTAATAAGTATGTTGTTCATTAAAGCATGCATTGCATTTAAGCTTGTAATTCATTTAGGGAAGTAGTTCATTCAGGGAAGTAGTTCATTCATGCATTTAGTTCATAAACTACTTCATTTAACTCAGCAAGTTAATTGAATAAAGTTAGTTCATTGATTAAACTAGTTCATTAATCAAACTAGTTTATAATTGTAATTGTTTCGTGCATGTTTTTATTTAAAGTTTGAATAAGACCTACCTTTGTGTCTAGGTGCATGGACATGTGGATGAAGCTTGAACCAAGGGAGGAGTCTTCTCAACTTCAACCCATTGAAGGCCTTCTTTACTCACCTATTCAAGGCATTCAAAGCTGATTTTATCATCCAATTCAAGTGGCTGTTCAAATTCTTCAAGGGAGCATGCAATGAAGGCTGGTTTAATTCACTTATTAAGACAATTTAGTGATGAAGATAAAAATGGAATAGGAAGAGACACCTCATTATGGAGGGCAAGGATTTCTACATTCATTAAATGTCTACATTCATCCCCTTTTCTTTTCATAAGAAAGTAAGACAAGGCAGCCCAAGAGTCCTTCACCCCTTGGACCAAATTGTCTAGATTCATCCCCAAATAATCTAGAATATTCGATCAGACTTGAAGATGAGAAAAGAGAAATCGTTCAAGTGCACTTTATTTCTTATTTGATGAGAATGCTTCGTTTGTTTGTGACCTTTCATATGTTGCTTAGAAATACTATAAATAGGCACCTTAGGATCATTTGTAAAGACACAATTTTCATATATAAATCCTCTTTGAGAGTTTGCTTCCATTCTAGTTCTTTTGAATAACTTTATTGGCTTCAAGTTTGTCTTGTGGTCTTCATCCATTCAATTGATTATAGTGTTGGTTCTTAGCTCTTCTATAGCTAGTGGGTCACGTTCCACCCTCTACCACTTCGATTTCATCACTTTATATTGTTGGTTCTTAGCTCCATATAGATAGCGGGTCACAATCCGCCATCCTATTCAAACCTACAAAGCCCATGCCACCACCACTATATTTTCCCCAATTTTCCTTAATTTCATTTCACCACAATATCCATCACTCTTCCATTATCTTCAAACAACCACATTCCTTTCAATCCTTCATTATCTTTATTATCATAACCTTTCCTTTTTACATTTTTGATTTATGCAATTACAGAGTTCAAACCTTGCGGAATCAGTTTCTTACTAGAATAACTATCGGACAATGTCATATATGACTCTGAAACTCGCAACCGGGTTCATATCAACTTATCTTCTTTCTTTAAATGTTTTACAGTCGGTATGAAACCAATTCCAACTCTTTTCCAAGGTGTTATAAAGCATATGATCCAGTGGCAACTTTTACCCTAATATAAGAACCCAAATGGTCAAAAGTTGAGGTAAGAGAAGGTGGTGTTGACGCTTCAGAGTACGTTGGGTTTGTGAAATTCTATGTTGAATGGTCCTAAATAGTTGTATGATCAAAACAGAAATACGAAATTAGGTGGGTGATCCATTAAATAATTTTACCCTTTTAATTTTATCATAAATGCTTTAATAATTGAAAAAATAAAATCGTTAAAAACATTGATGACTTTCTAATGACAAGTAGCCTTGTTGAATGTTGAATTAAGGTATCCCTTGCAATGGGATAATTTCTTTAGGTGTAATGAGATAGATTTTTAAGAATTGTTGTAGATAATTTTACAACAACGACAACAAAGATTTATTACGCATAACTTAACCATGATTGGCTGATGAGTTGAGCTGCTGACACATGGCAGACGCACATTTCTCTTGAGTTTTGATCTTAACATCACTGATGAACTTTTCCAAGCTTACTTGTGATGATCCGTCGGTCGACAATGCATTCTCTAACTTGTTTTTGACCACCTCGATGTTCTTCCTTAATTCATCCCCTAATTTCCCATTCATCAAGCAATGGATCGTCTCTGCCACCTCCTCCGCTTTGATCTGCTTGTTATCACAAACATTAACTCCAATCTTCCAATTATCAACCACTAATTTTCTGTTTGTGAATTGATCAGTCAACAAAGGCAAACAAATCAAAGGTACGGTGCACCATACACTCTCGAGTATAGAATTCCACCCACAATGCGTTAAGAACCCCCCAACCGTCGGATGTGATATCACTTCAATTTGGCAACACCACGGCACCATCAGACCCGTCTCTTTGACTTCTTCTTCAAATCCAACGAGTAAAACATCAGTTTCATCAGAGTTTATGGAACCAGGGCGAAGCACCCAAATGAAACTCACCCCGCTTAGCAAAAGCCTCTGGGCTATTTCCACGATAGTATTTTTACTGACGTGAGCATAGCTGCCGAGCGAGACGTATAAAACCGATCCAGGAGGCTTCGTGTCGAGCCACCGGGTGCAGTCAGACTCTGACCACAGGCTCGTTGCCACGACGCTCTTGGTGAAGCCGGTTGGGAAAATGGGTCCGATTGCATAAGTGGGATGCTTTTCATGCAAGGCTGAGATTGTTTGGGGTTCAAGCTCTTGTATGGTGTTGCAGATGATGAAATCTGCATTCTTTACGTCCTTGAAGGCCTTAAAGATTATTCGATGCACCACTGTCGTCGTATCGGATGCCTGCAGATATGACATTAAATCCTTTGGTTCTATAGCTCCAATCCCCGGAATGTAATCGATTGTATCTTCACGATTATCTATGGGGTAAGTGTGTATTATTAATAATTAAGAAAATTTTCTAACAAATAATATATTATAATCAATTTATATAACAAGAAGTCCAAAAATATTTTTTTTAGATTTGATATATATATATATATATAATAAAAAGTTTTCTTATAAAGTGAGTGAAAATAAAATTTCAAGATACACGTTATTAATAAAATAAATAATTAATATAAAAATTCATATTATAAGATAGACACGTAATCACCATATACAATACTTGTATCCATCGCTAATCCCACACTATTTTTTAAAAAAAGTAATCTTCATAGATAATGGCAAAACTTTTGAGATAATGTTCTGGAAGAAATTAATTTACGAGATAATGCACTCCCAAGATTAATTGCTCAAATAGGGTGAAATCCACAGTGTTGGCCGTAGGTCGCCATGCCTTCCGGGCGACCTACTAGGTACCATGTCTTCCCGGCGAGCTACGAGAGATTGCATGTGCCATGCACGTCCCAACACGCTGGGCATTCGAGGCCATCCGACCGAGAATGCGAGAGCATTCGAGGCCATTAGAGAGAGCTATGCGAGGGCATCCGAGCGAGCGAGCAAGGGTAGGTCGCCCGGAGTGCATGGCAACCTACAAGGTCGCTTGGAGAGCATAGCGACCTACAAGGTCGCCCGGAGGGCATGGCGACCTATGTGTTGGGACGTGCATGTGCCATGCAATACGTTCATTCTCTCTGTGAGTTCGTCGGGAAGACGGCCACGTAGTAGGTCGCCCGGAAGACATGGCGACCTACGACCAACACTATGGATTTCACCCTATTTGAGCAATTAATCTGGGGAGTGCATTATCTCTTGAATTAATTTCTTCCAGAACATTATCTCGAAAGTTTTGCCGATAAAAGGCAATTAGATCTGTAACATAAGAATACAAATTATCCTATATTATAAATGAGTTTAACTTTTTATTATTTTTGTTAAATTAGGGTGAATACAAATAATATTTATTTAAAGATTTTTAATCATATGGATTGAACTTTACATTTACCATGCTTAAATTTGATATCTCGACAAATAAAATACGTATCAAGAGAGCCAACATGACCATTTTTTCGGAGGAGGTCGACGTGGTAATAGAGAGTGAAGACCAGAGCTGGTTCCGTCCAGAAGGAAACATTAACCAAATTATATTTGTTGGATATCATGGACGACCAAACAAAAAAGGTGTCTGCTATTAAACACGTCGGAGGAGGGTTTGTTTTAATTGTTTCACCTACGAGTTCATCCGCGTGAGCCGACATGACATGCAGAACACCTTCAAAGTACTGGTCATGGTTGAGGGAACGATCGAATCCCAGCGGGAACCCATCATTGACGACGACATAACGGATGTCGAGACCCGATTTACGAGAGTCGGTGAAGATGTCGTCGCCGAAAGTATCCGAGTGATTGGGTTGGGATTTGGTTATCTGTTGGTGGATGGATTGGGTGTTGACGAAGGTGATGACGAAGCCCTTTGTTTCGAGCTTCAAGGCAAGGTGAACGGAGGGGATCACGTGGCCTTGGAGAGGGTAAGGAATCACGATTGCATGAGGCTTTTGGTGGTCATTATTCATCTCCATTTTCTCGGTCGAGTGTTTGGTGTGCGAGAAAATTTTGTTACAAATGATGGTGGTTGGAATATAATGTTATTGAGAAGCAAGTGCATATATACAACTGAAGACGTAGGGGACCAGAGCAAGAAAATGAAAAAACAAACAGATAAAACCGACAACCGCTTCGGATCCAGTGTTTGGTTTCAGATTTTATTGAATTAGAATCGAGTAATAGTAAAATAAATCCATACAAGTTCATTTCCTAATGAAAGAAACTGTAATTTATTTAAAAGATAAAGTACATAAATAATCAATAAATTGTATTAAAACAAATTTTTTATATTAAAAATCTTAAAAATTATAAAATAATTATTATATTTATTAAACAGTTATAAAATAATCATTATACATTATAAAATAATAATAGATTTTAATAAGTCTAGAGAACATTTTATAACATAAATAAAATAAATAATTTATTTATTTTAGTAGCCAAATGTTGTGTTTACACAGAGATACTAAATTCGAATCTCTTTAAATTTATTTGTATTTTTAAAAAAATAAATTTTATTAACTTATATATAGAATGTTTCCAATGATTATTAAATCTAAGTGGAATACATTTAAAATTCAGGTTTGAACCTTCTTGATCCCATTTCTGTTTCATTTAATTTTAATCAATAAGATTACATATATACAAAAATGTTATCAACCATGAATCAGTAGTAAATTTAATTCAATGGTTACGCGTGTCTATACCCATGATCTAGGTTTGAGTCACCCTAATTTTATTTTTATTTTCTTTTAATTTTCATCAATAAAATAACATATATACAAAATGTTTTCATATAGCTTTGAGTCCCTCATGAAAATATCTCATTTTCTTGATGATTTTTCTAATATCAATCATAAATAAATGCAAGAGGTATTTGAAGTGGGCGTCAGTCTCCTGTATGGTCAATTACTAAAACAAAACGAAGAGGAAAAGACAATAAAACTGAGAGGAAGTAGCCCCGGAAACTGCATTATTTAGCCAACTGTATCTGCAATGGCATTAAGCTGTGTTGGGACATGGATACCCTCTTTGATCACATTCGGACTTGTATTAAGAGTAATAAATCTATAAAAAAAAATCAAAAAACAATGGACCAAGTCATTCTCTTAATTCTAGGTCATTGAGAGTAATTAGGTTATTTAGTATTCAAGTTTATTCATGTCACTTCAGAATTTCCAGAGTAATTCGGTCGTTTCCACAATTCGGATACATACATTACTTCCATTCAATTCAACTTGGTTTTATAATATAGTCATTTCGAGATATTCAGACGTGTAAAGTACATTCGGTAATTTAGTCTTCGGGTGTTCGCTCAGGAAATAGAAATTCCAGGTTATTTTGGTATTCGAGGTTGATTTATTCATTTAGGAGCTTGAGGGTATTTAGTCATTCCAGGGCTTGGAGGTACTTTGGGTCATTTACACTTCAGGGACATTTTTTTTAATTTCTTAACCATGTGATTCCGATATTAAACGTTTTAGCGAAAATAATTAGAATTTAAATATTTTGAGGTTGATTGCTTTATCAGTTAACCACAACCTGAAATTATTTCTTATCAGTCTTCTAGTGTCCTATAGGTGTAATCTGAGGCTTATTCAGTTTAGTTATATTTCATCGTATTTGGAACTAGTTTAGAAATATATTAATTACACACAAGAAACAAAACTTATTCATCTATGCATTAACCAATGCCAGCATGTTCCATGAAGAATACATAAGGTAGTAATGTATTACCTCGATTTCTGTGCTCCACCGATCGAACATTTAAACTCAATTCGATCACTCTCAAACTTGAATACAATGTCCAATAATATCTCGGATACATATAAACAGATATTACATTAGAAACAGGGCTTAATTACAGAAAACGGATCGAATCAGAAGGTGAAATGCTAAAAAACAACTTATTGGGTTTGAATTTGGGGAAACAGACTTCGAATTCGGACTCAGGACGAAGAAAAACATAAAATATGTCTTTTCAAAAATTTTGACTTTTTGTCAAAGTCAATGGGTCAACTTCAACAGGTTGACTCGGATGAGTTGACTCAGAGGACTTGACTCGAATGAGTTGACTCGGATGAGTTGACTCAATCTTGGTTGACTCGGTTCGATTCAAACAAACCCGGTTCAGACCGTGTTAGGTCGGTTCAGACCGGGTTAGGTCGGTTCGGCTTTAACCTGAACCATTTCTAGAAGAAACCAAAGCTGTGAGACGAGTCCCACGTGCGTACGACGGAGTGTGGTGGCGCGTGACAACAACAACGGCCTGGGGGCGGTCAACTGATTACTCCACAAGAAGCTACACACCATTTCCAACCAAAATTAAACCCAACAATCAACCAATAACTCAATTAAATAGACTAAAATGAGTTCGGAAAGCTCACTGACAGTGGATGGACAAAACCGGCGACGACAAGGTAACCTACTGGTTGGGTTTTGGACGAACGAGGATAATGAGTCCAATGGTGCAGGTGGTGAGGCGAGAAGATGGTCGAGGCAACCGAAATTGAAACAAAGTCGTGTGACGACGATGGGGTTTTCGACGAAGCTTTTTCGACTTCTCCACGACAAATGGCAGCTCCTTTCGACAAATTGACAAAGGGGTTTTGGACACGGCGGCCTGGCGTTTCGATTGGAGGTGACGGTGACCTGCACCATCAGACGGAATAGAGAGGGATGAGGAGGGCTGCCGAACGATCTCTCTCTCTACGCGATGAACGACAGCCTAAACGGGCGATCTAAGGCTCGGGGTTGGATCGCCGATCATTGCTCAGTCCGATGGAGACAGCATGCACTCGACCGCTGATCGGAGATGGCTGGCCGAAAGGGCGATGGTGGAGTTGTATTTTGGTTTGGGGTTTGGGGGAAATTTTGGGATTGATTCTCGAAATGGGGTTTCTCTAATTTTTATTTTTCTCTCACCAGAAAAAATGGAATAATTTAAGGTCAAGTCCCTAAACTTCCCACAGGTTCCAAAAGTGAGCTACAAACTTTTAAAAATTTGCAATTTGATCTTCGACTTTCTTCTAATTAAATTATCGGGTGTTACAAGTAAACTTAATTCAATGGTTACGCGTGTCTATACCCATGATCTAGGTTTGGGTCACCCTAATTTTATTTTTATTTTCTTTTAATTTTCATCAATAAAATAACAGATATACAAAATGTTGTCGTATAGCTTTGAGTCCCTCATGAAAATATCTCATTTTCTTGATGATCTTTCTAATATCAATCATAAATAAATGCAAGAGGTAATTGAAGTGGGTGTCATCTCCTGTAATTAAGGTCAATTTCTAAAACAAAATGAGGAGGAAAAGACAATAAAACTGAGAGGAAGTAGCCCCAGAAACTGCATCATTTAGCCAACTTTATCTGCAATGGCATTAAGCTGTGTTGGGACATGGATACCCTCTTTGATCACATTCGGACTTGTATTAAGAGTAATAAATCAATAAAATTTCAAAAAATAATGAAATTATAAAATTTAAATGACGTAAAAATAAATTAATTAAAAATATAAAAAATATATAAGAATTTTAAATTTTTATGGGAGTCGACTGTCCCATCCGCTCTCTTCCCATTCGATTGGTGTCTTTGATGCTCGAAAACTTCTGTGTTCCAAGGCACGTGTGATGAGTCACGGACTCCATTGGAATCAATTTCAAGGAGTAGGTGGTGGAAGAGGTTGCAATAGCTTTGGACGTAAGAAAACGAAGTGATTCTTACCATGTTTCACTGTCCGATGTAAAATAAGATTAAAAAAATGAAGTCATGGATCTGGTCGTTAATAGTTAATATTCACCATCTAACGTGATACAAGTGGCTGCTTATCTATCATTTAAAAATCCCAACCACCACTTATTTGTGTGTTCATCTAGAGATCCGCCATTAATTATATTCGGGTGTTTATTTTTGGTTCCTTAGCATTGTCTGAAGATCCGCCATTAAGTTTGGAATGCATCAAGGCAGCTGGCTATTGGACTGTTCAAATCTCCAGTGATTCCTATCACCACTGTGACAATTATCAAGATATAATTGTCCGGAAGAGTTAGGTTGTCCAGCAATTTAGGACGTTACTTATCTTAATTAGTAGACCAAGGCTAAAGTCGCATCACATGGTAAACCTAGTTTTGGTGGGTAAGTCTCTTAGCGAGGATTTTTTTTACATGCACAAGGACTCGAACTTGAGACCTTGCTTAAGTGATGTCAAGTTGTTTATCAGTTACCATTTGAACCATTCTCGTTGGTTCCTATTCTTATTTTTAAGGGTAAACTATATAAATGGTCACTAATGTTTAAGTAAGTTTTTCATTTTCTTTACTGAAATTTCAAAAATAACAAATTGGTCGTTAGCATTATCGAACAAGCAAGCAGCAAAGCGCCAATGACCAAATACATTCTAATCATATCGCAGGGCTTGACAAAAGAACACACTTAGAATTTATGGTCAAATCATATCATGCTAAAATATGGAACAACCCCAACAGATCCAATATCAACAGGCACAAAATCTGCAAATACCTGTATAGCGAGTGTAGCCATAATATAGCTTCCTTTGGTCCAAATAAGTTCGTCCTCACCTGGGAAAGGTACATTAAAAAACTATAATGCTAAAACATTGCAAGGAACAACTCACCAGAAAACGTTGATAGTCAATTTGTTAGTGACATATTGTGAAACCAAGTTTGGGCAGTTAACAATCCTACTAATAATTTTTATAACTGGAAGCCCCTTTTCTGCTACAGAGGTGAATATATCAAGCTTGATGTACCTGTTTAAACCATATATTTACCAATAACAGTCTCAATTTTCTATTGGGATACTTTCCTCCACTACAAAAATTAAATTACCGAGGAAAAATTCTGACGAATTTAATATCCGTCATAATTTACTAAAGAAATAAAATATTTCATCACAAAATTGTGATATGATTGTAACTTTCGACCAAATTATTTTTTCATCAAAA